TTTTCAAAAATATAAATTTTTGTTGGATTTTCGTTAAATGTAAAGCGTACTATATAAATATAAATTAATCTAATTAAAACTAAATATTTATACTACAATAGATGAGAATAATATGGATGATACGAAAACATTTTTTTTCGATTGGTAACCCTATGAAAAATAGTGATAAAAAGAGTTTTAAAGTAAAATATTTAATAATTTAATTTTATAATCTATAATTCCACTTATAGTTTGAATTCAGAGATCATTTATTTCAATCTTTATACAGCAATAATATACCATTATCCAAAACTTCTTTAAAAATTATAATATATTATTTGAATATTCAATAAATTAGGTATTGTCAGAATTAATTTTGTAGAAAAAAGAGTTTTAATAGTTAGATATAGCTGAACAATTCTTTGTGCGATGTTAAATTAAACTAAAGAACTGAAAATTAAAATATAGAAATCCTATTAGTGATGGAGAGTAGTTTATAAAATATTCTCATAACATCACTTTTCTTATTAATCAAAATATTTACAGTGTAGGTGAAAGAAAAATGTTGTAGTTTTTTTTTTAATATTTTCAAAATAAGCAAAAAACAGTTTATATTAAGAATTCTTTATAAAATAGGTCAATTAGTACTTAATAATATTTATTATTTTGAGTTTAAATACTATGTTCAGATAAAATTTAAACTGCAACACTGACTATGCGTTATTTCCAAAGCCTAGTTCGTAATAATGTATTTTATAACAAATAACCACTATTAAAGCCTTTAAAATTCTATTTTATAATAATATAATAATGTTTGTATCGTGAATTAATGGCGGAAATAAAATAAGGTGTACTGAGATTATAATTTATAAATGAAGAACACAAAAGTAGTTCACATTATTATATAGTGTCTTGCTTAGTAAATATACCCTACTCGGAACTGATATTTTGCAAAATGTTTCCAATGAGAATATTTCAAACATTTGGGAATAACTACTTACATTAACCTAGCACTAGCTGATTAAGTTAAACAATCATACCCAGGAGCTCAGTATGTTTTATAACATGTGACATAATAAACAGGATAATTGCTAAGCTTATAACCATGTTTTCATTAATTAGCAATTAGTTGCAAAATAATACTTCACTATTATTTATGTTACACACGAAGAATAACTATAACTAAAACTAACATGTTTCACATTAGAAATGAATCAACTAGATAAATAGATGATCACGAATTAATTTGAATGGTTGGGTTGTCCGTTTCATTCAAATAAAATCGTGTTCTTTTTAATTCAACGATTCAATAACTTTAATAAATTTCCGTAGACAATATGCAGCTAATTAACAATCTCAATTATACCTTACTCTTTGTTAAACTCACATCTCTTTGTCCTTTAATTTTATTTATCTTTTAATATTTTAACTCCTTATTAAGAATGTCGTGCAATGAATTTGTACATTCCTAAACTTTCTTTTTCCTAATTTGTTTAAAAGATGATACTGTTTAATTAACCATAATAGTAAATATTAAATTTTAAAGAATGTGATCTTATGCAAAATACATAGTTTAAACAACAAAATTCATAATGAAAAAAAGTTTTAACTTTTATTTTTAACTTAAATAATAATTAATAATTGTAATAACACTTTTTACGGTAAAAAAAAAAAATTTAATTTAAATTAAAATCCTATTAACTTGAAAACTATATTTAACTTATAGTATAAGAAAGCAAATAAGAAATAATGGCATAGTTTCAAAGAACCATTAATTTTCTCTTATCTCACAAATTTAATCTGTCATGATTTTATACAAAGATCAATTTCAAAAATTGCAGATTGTCTTAATGATTCTTACGCTGGAAAGCTTAACATAATAATTTGTTATTGATGTACATGAACATAATTATTAATTAAAACTTTATTCACATGTTCAATGTATAATTATCATTCTTCTGACACGTTCTCGCTTGGGAAAAGTGAACTCCGATATAATTTTCTTCAAATATCTTATATTGTTATATGTATTAATACAGAGCCATTTTATGGATCAATGTAAATTTTATTTGCTTTATATTTGTAATATCTAAAGTACAAGAATTTTTCAACAGTAAAGATTTAACTAGTTTAAATATGTATTTATCTATTATTTTATTATTTATACGTTGAACTATAATAAATTTTAGGTTTTGTAGAAAATTGTGGGTTAATCAAAGGACCAAGCGCAGAACTAGTTATCACCATTTTTTAAAATTATGTTAAAAAATAAAAAAAAATAAACAACTGATCAAAAAAAAAATTAATTATACAAATTTACATACTAAACTATACAAGATATATAATGTTTTTGGAATAAATGTAAAAAAAATAACATTAAGAATTAGTGTTAAATAAAAACAGATATTTTTTTATACTAAAAATTAGCTAGTTCAAAATTTGAGTAAGGTTACATCTTTATAAATATATTCTTACTAATAGTTATCACCTTTAATACATATGCTATTTTAATAATTTATAAATAAAATATATCATCTTTTAGCAATAGTACCATATATTATCGAAACTTCTAATACACGCAGAATACTAAAAGACAGATGGTTTCTCAAAACTCCTGTAATTTGTTATAAAGTATTATGTTTATAAAACAAGTGCTTTTTGTTGCTATTAATTGATAGTATGTCTTTTGGCATATCACATATAATTTTTTAAAGTTTTGATTTCTTATTTTTCAAGAAAACGTAAAATAACAATTCTCATGGAAATTTCGCCAAATGTTACTATGCTCTATAATAAATAATTAACTACTAATGAATTAAAATTTAACGAAGAAATGTTTTTTATATATTATACATTATATATGATTAAGGGAAATACAAACACATTATATACAAAGATAAACATTGCTCACATTTTTAATCAAGTTTAACGTTCTCTCTAAAAGATATTGTTTTTGTCAGGGAGAACTGGAAAACCTACATAGTTTAACAGAACGAAATATAACCAATAATAATTATGCACTATTAATTAAATTATTCTTAACTACTAAACACACCATATTTTTACTTTCACGCTTAAACTTTTTCAAAATTCTATAATTTAACAAAAAATTTCATTCTACACTATTTTAAGTAATCTTGTTTAGAACATAAATGATATTTCAGTTACATTATACGACTGCATAGTAGTAGAATTTTCCAATCGGATATATTTATTTAATGTGAAAAACCAACAATTTTTTATTTGAGTTTTTTAATGAATAATTCAACACATATTTATTTAATTGTATCTTCCTAGCAATATTTTGATAAATTAAAAATATTTATTCATAAATAAAGTTGTTTTAAGCTAAATTATTTAGGATAAATTTCACGTAGTAAAATAAAATAGAAAAATAATTCTTAGATCCTCTAAAAATTATTTTAAGATTTGATCAGGGTGATTGTCAACCCTACTTAAAAATGATTATACGATATGGTCAAGTAGGGATGTAATGCTAGAAATTGCATCAGAGCGTCCGTTGTAGAACATTTTGAAACAAGTTAAATACAGGCATTTGTTAATTAATTGTTTCACATAGAAATTAAATTTTTACGCTATTAAGATATATTTTTTAAACATTATTGATTTTTAATATAATTTTATTAGGTGTGAGTTTTTAGTTTATCATTTTTCTATCTTATATCAATATTAAAAATATTCAGTAATAGAGTTACTAGGAAAGGCGGTCCCAAATTCTCAGTTTCCCCTGAGAACATCATTATTAATACATATTCTTCAAGGTTTAAACATTTGTAATTGTAAATACTACTGCAATCATTAGTTATCATAACTAATATTCATTAATGATATTGGGGTTGTTTATTATGAATATCTTTCAAAGAATAATCAACCGATTGCATTAATTTTTTGAAGACACAAAATAAGTTAAATTATTGAAAATTACAAGTTATTTTAAAGACAAAACGTTTTAATTTGCCATACAATAAATTTTTAAAATATTTGCTATACGTTTTTTCAATGTTTTTTTTTATCAAACATTTACACACTCATATTATTTTGTGGTATTAACAATATAATTTAATAAAAATAATACTTTATGGTGTTTATGATTACATTCACTTAGTCTAATTTATTTGTGCTATTAAAATTAAAGTTCTTTGTTAACAGATTAACATGTTTCGTCTATTATTTTGGAGTTAGACCATTATTTATACCTGAAATTATTTAAATAATTCAAAACATCCTAAAAGCTTTAACATATTCAAGTATTATATTGTTTGCGCGCGGTTAAATAAAACGTTATTGGTTATGTCGTGATTCGAATTAAAACTCTAAAGTCAAAAAACGTACTATTTGTGTTATTATTGTTAAAGTTTCTATTATTACGGTTTTAACATTTGGACGAGAAATGTGTAATTAATAGGACTAGTGCAAATTACTGTTGCTCTTCACAGTAAATTTCTGGTTATTGAAATCGAATGTATTCCTGTTCGCCAATGATAATACACATACCTCGGTGTTGGTCAAATAGAATTTATGTAAACAGCTAAACCACAATGAGCATAGACAACAAAAACGGAGTACAATACCATTTCACATTGCAGCGGTATTATGCGATGTAGTGGTATTTAACATCCGTGCCAACACTATGTAGTTTATCAGGGAAAATAATGTTTTAGACTCTGGAACACGATGTGCAAAGTACACGGTAAGTGGCGACTGACGCTACCGCTTTCTTCTCGGAAGCACTGCACCTTTAATTAACACTAAACATCAATATTTAACTTTATACGCACCGTGACTTCTATAAACAATAGGCGCAGTGATGAAGACTATCAAATCAAATTTTATGATGCTCAGATAAATGATAAAATTCGCCAAACAGTCCGTGGCGTATAGGGATACGCCGTCGCGGCGTAAGACAAGCGACCGACACGCCATTGGCTGAGCGTCGAGGACATGTAGCGCGCGTGGTCGTAAAAAAGTGGCGGGCGTATGAGGCACATCTCGCGCCTTCGATAGGGATCATATTATCAGTAGACTTGTACGGCCGCAACTATTTAAGCACACAGCGGCGTGCACCGTTGACTTGAACGGATTAGCTGGTTTCAATATTATTGCATCAAAAGCGACCGCGCAATAATATTACATTAAGTAATCAACGTGCGTGTAGTTTTAAGTTTTGTCTCTACATTAATCACGAGAATTCAAAAATAAATATTTAAGTCAAGTTTCATCGTGATTTTCAATTCGATAATCTTCACGTGGATCTTTTCAATGTTGATCTTATTTACAATCGATACGATGCATTTGTGATTAGATCTTAGCCGTCTTCATTGAATATAAGTGACAACAACACTAGTGTCAAAGAAATACCGACTGCCAGACATTCAGGTGAGTGTTAATTATAAAAGATATGTCAAGTGTCAAATTTCAGACATTATAGAAAGAGTAACAATCGTTAATCAAATATATATTTTACTTAATAAGTTAAAACAAAAACTGTGTTTTTATTTTACAACCGAAAGCGTAAATACAAAGTTTTTACATTTGTTATTTTAAGTTTGAACTTTAAGTCATCTAACTCAAAGTCATAAACCATTATACTTTTAGTCGTCATTTTTCATAGGTCCTAACATTTTGTGCAATTCAGAGTATGTATAATATTATTAGTGGGGCATATACGTTTAAAACTACAGGAAAAACCGGTTTTATTATTAACTGTAGATAATAATACGCTTGCAAAATGTTAGTTTATCCTTATTTCAAACACTGTTTTTCGCTTTAAATAAATTTGCTGAATCTCAGTAATGTAGTTTTCTTAAGAATTACAGAAATGACTGATATCATGTGTATAACTTTTTCAAGCTGTCATTATTGTTCAAGTGTGAAAAGACTTTACTTTAAAGTCTAAAATAAAGTTTAATAAAGAGGTCGACGATTGGAGGCCCGTGGTCCAAATCTGACCTCCAGAGAATAAAAAATTGGCCCACTAAAAATATTTGAAACTAAAGTTATTTTTGTTTTTTATTTCCATCATTGTTTTGGATATCCAGTCTAATTTGCCCTATTTAACCGCGTGTTGTTTGATTTACTTATCGAAGAGTATCAAATTTCAAAAAGCTGGCCTAAGACGAACAGTCCCATTGTTTTTGTTAAAATACAACATTTTATATGTTGAAATTCAATCATGTTAAGTTTATATGCTGTCTATTTTTAATTTTAATAAATTTATAGTTTTTTCTGTTCCTTGAAAAGATGCTTTTAACCATTTACATATACAAACTAATTGCTTGTTATAGACATTTATTGAAGTTCCACAAGATATTCAGTAAAAATATAATTTCAGAACGTTAGTAAATGATAATTAACAAACTAATTTTGAATGTGTTAAGCTATATTTAATCCGGGGTGTTCTTTTATATATCCTTCTCTTAACTCACGCAAAATGTTTGTTATTCCCAAAGGCGAAATACAACTAAGATTGTAGATGTCGGTTAATAAAATAACTCTAAAAACAATCAGCAAGTATCAAAAATAAAGTTGCTATATTTTCTTAGGCTGAGCACCGATATATTACCACCGACCGAGTTTCGAATCAACTTAAAGTTTGATCAAAAACTACTTGAGTAATCAAATTAATGATAGCAAAATTTTAACCAACTAACGCGTTATAATACACGAGCAACAACATTAACTTTACTGTCTCGGATGAGTGGAAAAAATGTAATTCAAGTACTTTATTTTACGTTCAGCTTAAAACCTTTCCGTGTATATAAAAATTGACTAAATGTGAAATTTAATGTATTATGGCAATTTTTTTAATCACTTGCTCAAATATTTTTTTTTACCAAACCGCTATTAATGGTGTCGTTTTCGTCATAAAACAGTATTTTTAATTTTGTTGACATGTTCATAACGAATTCAAATATCGGTGTTTGTAGTTTATTCATCTGTTAGTTGTTGACGATCTAATTAGGCCTTTCGTTTATCCATTTACTATAAACTGTAACTTATTAGATTTTCATTTGATCTCAAAATAAACCTTTTAAAACTTTCATACGCGAACATGGAAATTATTTATGATTAATTAATATTGTGTTTTTAGTCGTTCGTATACAACTTAAAGTATACAAAAGGTTCCATGAAAGTGTAAAATAAGTGAAATTGTTGTGTGAATAGAAATAATATATAAAAATTATTTTATCCTATATATTATATTACTACAACCAAAAAATATTTTAGATATTCAATCATCATCAAAAAGTTTTGAATAATGTTTTATGTAATTTGTTTTGAAATATTCAACTGGGATTGACTAAGTTTTTAATGAGGCTAAATCTTAAGGTCCACAAAAGGGAAATCCACGTATAAAATACATGACCAAAAGTCATTTCATGGCGTGACGAAGTTGTAAAATGGTAATCATATATTAATAGAAAAACATCAAATATTAAGTTGTTTTTATGCACAACTACTTTTGTTATAAGAAATGAAATAAAAAAATTTAATACTAAATAATCTCGATTAGTTTCATGTTGTATTATTAGACGTTGCCTGCAATTTTTTTTTAAATTTTACAGGAAACACATACAAGAATAGATATTAAAAGTAACAACTGATTTTCGAATTGAAGTTTTAAAAATGATTAAAACTTAAATAAAATTAATCAATTTAATACATAAATTGATGTACGAATTAAAATATTCGTATTCATATAATTTTCCTAAATCACAAAATATTTAAGGACATTTTCTATTAAAGTACGAATTTTTTAATCAATAAGCTATTAGTATAATATTATTAGCGTATTGTAAAGAAAAGAAAAATTGTTACTATAAATTTGGTTTTGATCGTAAAGATGTCGAGTATAAGCGATTTGTCTATATATAATTACTTTACGGTACTAAAATATCCACTAAATGGTTTTGATAAAACGATTTTGTAGAAATACCGTATAACTAATCACGTTTAAGTTCTCAAACCTCACTTATTCGCGGCACTTAAATTGCAAAAACAGTATAAAGCAAAATGAGTTATTCATGAAAATAGGCGCATGTAAGTGAAAATAATAAAAATAAATAGTAGTACTAATTAAACATTTTTTTTGCATCAGTAGGGAGCAAAATTACTTTTTATTACATTAAAAATGGAAAATGCTTTCGGAAATGTCGACTAATGGAATTTCAACTACTGTGCTTGCAATTTATCTAAATTATTTTATTGAATTTTTTAAACTAGAAATACTACTTGTTAAATCAAAAAAATTGTTAACAACTTTTAGCTTCGATGCGAAACTTTGAAGGTATTTATTTTACATGATGTGTTATTTTTATTTTTTTGTGCCTGTCACTACTTTTTCTCAGCTCTCACTGTATCGATTTTTCTCAATAATACGTCAAAAGATCATAAATCGTATCTAGTTGAAGACATTATCCTTAAAAAATGAAAATAATGCCCTCGCTCACCATAAATAGTCAAAATCCTCCCAAAAAATTACAATTTTTTAAAATTGGTAAATTTTGACATTTTTTTCATTTTTTTTTCTAAAAATTACCATAACTTATTGAAAAATGAGCAAATCAAAATAATTCTTTTTATATTGAAACCTTCAATATTTTCCTATCATTTAATATAATTTTATTGAAAATCTGATCCTATACCAGCTTCAGGGGTGATTCAAAATTGCAACTTCTGCACAAAAATTTAACTTTTTCAACTTAAGTTTTGAAAATGTTCCGAGCTTCAAAAATATGTTAAAATAAAGCTTATGTTATGTATTATAAGTTTAAAAAAAAAATTTGTCCCATCACGTCGCGACAACTTATTTTTTATGTGAAAATGGTTGTTGTAGATAAAATACATGCAATTTTTGTGCCTGTGGCTATGATTTTTTTGAAATTTTTCCTTAATTTTATTTTAGTTAGAATTTTGTTTTTAAATAATCCACAAATTTCTTAAAATTAAACATTAACTAAAGATTTGTATCGAAGCGTTTCTTATGATAGTGATTTTAATACTGTCAGATATCATCTATACTAGTCCCAACTATGCCACGCTCACACTGTGCACAACCCCACTGTGCTATCGTTTTTTTTTTAAATGTATTTATTTATACTATTCCTATTTATGAAAAATTGTACATTTAAAAATTATTTTTATTGTTTAATTTATTCATTTTTTTTTTAGAAATTCATGACGTTAGTATAGTTTTTATTTGCCTTTTGTATATTTAATTGAGTTATATCTTTTATTTGTCTAGCCTATACTTTTTACATTATATTTTCTTTGTGCCAGAAAGAAATGGTTTCATATTTTGTGTAGTAAAATTGTATTTTGGTTCTACTAAACACGTTAAATACATCCTCCAGTTGTTTATTAATACAATTTATCATATTATTATTAGATATTTAATAGCTTGGGGTTTCCAACGCTCTTAATAAATATATATAAGTCTAAGGTACAATAAGTCTATTGTGTATGGAATTAATTTATAATATAGCTTTTAACTGTTTTAAATAATAAGAAAGTTCAATTTGTGTATTTAAAATATTTATGTGTTTATCCACAATTCGTGGTTTTAATATACTAAAATATTTATCATTTATGAGTTTTATTTGAAATCAAAACATCAAAATTATACAGGGTGATTGATTAACTATGCCTCACTATATATTCACTATGCCATAATTAGTGAGGTATAGTTAATCAATCACTCTATATACTACATAATTAGGTAATTATTTATTACCTGCATATGATTTATATTTATTGTAGTAATATATTTGTTTGTTAAAATGTTAAAAGAAGTATAACAAGATATAAATTATTCAAAGGATTAGAATAAGATTACCAATTAAAAAATACTGTCAGGTTTTTAACTAAAGAGTCGAATAAGTTGATTGCGGAAAGATGTCGTTAATAGTTTTTACAACAAATAAAATATCTTAATTAAGTCCTCCTATTATAACAGAATAATTTTTGATGCTACATCATTCAATGATCTAAATCTGTATTTTTCAATATTCAAATATAAATTAGTAAACGAGTTTAAAAGATGAAAAACTCTTTATAGTTTATTTACTAATGAAATTACACTGCAGTGAAATTCATAGAAATGTTCACGTAGTCGGCTTTCAAATGTTTCTTTAATTGTGATTCTTTAACACGAAAATTGTACTATAAACTATCTTCTGATTTCTTTAAATCTTAAATAGTGTACGTTTTTATACCAAAATTATGAGTTGCCAGTGCTGCACAACGGACTAAGGAGAGGGCTAATAGCTTACCCAATTTGTTGTGTAATACATAAATTATACACGCAAACTGAACGAGAGACCGACTAAAAACTAATAGGTAAAATAAAACATTAAATATTCAAAAATAAAATTTAA